TACATATACATATATATAAATATATAAATATATATATATATATATATATATATATATATATATATATATATATATATATATATATATGTATATATATATATGGGTGGTTGCTTCATGCTAGGGGTGATGTGAAGCGATGGTGTGGTGTGGTGTTAAGTACTTGCATGCCTTCTCGCTTACAGCTGCCACCGCTGCTAGCCTGGTGCGAAAAGGGAGCAGCTATGTATAAGACTCCCCTGCCAGCTCATAGCCTCTCCATCATCAAGATTTCTGCAGTGCCTCCTCGTGGCCACCCATGGAAACTAGGTACATTGCGGTCCTAGGCTGAACTGTGGAGGCTCTTGGAGCTGCAGGAGGCCCTAAAGGTACGGAGTCATGGCCCACCGGCGTGTGGATGCGCCCTGGCTTCGTACTAACTCCTGCCCCCGTGCCCCCTGGGATTAATGGGCGGCTGTGGGGAGGCAGGCCTTGCCAGCCTGCCCCCCACCGAGATAATCCACTGGCAACGAATCGTATAGTTGGTGGTGCTGGTGGGAGGGCTAAAGTCCCTCTCACCCAGCAAGAACGGCTGGGTTGGCGACCGCTGGGACTCGGGTGGGGAGGGGGGTTACCCATCATTCCATCTGGATCCCAGTGGCTGCCAACCTGGCGTGATGCTTGTGGGGGAAAGCCCCCGGGAGCCCTGCAGGCGTATTATAGGATCTGCAGCCAGCTAACCTCCTCTATATGGGGCGGCGTCGGTAGGGGTGGCAGAGGTGGCACCCACCCGGAATGACTGATGAGGTTAGACCTCAGGCAGGCTGTCAGGGTGGGGGTTGGAACATCTATTCCCTGCGACAGGACGATCGTTTATTGTCGAGGGAATTATTGTCGAGGGAATTGAAGCATCTGAGAGTTGAAGTGGCTGCTCTCTTGGAGGTGAGAAGACCTGGCAGTGGCACGATTAGTGTGGGTGTCTACACGGGCCGCAACGATGGCCACCATCTCCAGGCCATAGTCATCTCCAGCAGACTTCAACCCTTGGTAGTAGAGGTCACTCCAGTCGATGAGCGTAATATGGTATTGAGACTGAAGCTTTCACTTGGCTTCATGTCTCTTATTGCTGTGTACGCTCCTATGGATGTATATAAACTTGAGGTGAAAGAGATGTTTTATGCCAAACTTGCATCTGTGGCAGACATTTGTCCTTGGCAAGATATTCATATTGTTCTGGGTGACTTCAATGCGGTATCTAGCTGCGATTGAGCTGGCTAGATGTCTGTCAGTCCCCATGGTTCAGGAACTGACGCTGGCAGCGAGAATAGCCTCCTTTTCCGTGACTGCTAGGTCCCAGAAATTGAGGATCTCTGGCTCCTGGTATCAGCGTTCTAACCCGCATCACTGGACTTGCTACAGCGATATGGGTAGTGTGGCCAAGGAGATAGACCACATCCTCGTCAGCACTCGGTGGAGGATCCTCCAGAACTGCAGGGTGTATCGAAGTGCAGGGTTCTCTGGAACTGATCATAGATTAGTTGTAGCTACTCTCCATGTCCACTTTAGAACCCCACGTCGCCCAAATGAACACCCTATGGTGTTTCATCTGGACAGACTGAAGGAGGATGTGAGTGCCCAGGGGTTTGCTGAAGCTATCTCTGGTCGTCTCACAGCACTCGAGGTCCTGCCAGACCCTGTTCTTATGTGGGATACCTTCAAGCATGAAATTCTTGATGCAGCTCATGAATCCATTGGGGAGTGCCCAAGAGCAAGACAGAATTCCATCTCACAGGGGACACTGGAAGCCACAGATGCCTGTCGTATGGCTCGATTGTCAGGGGATCACAACTTGCACCATTCTCTGGTATGCAGAACTAGGTCACTGTTGAGAAGGGATAAGGAACAATTTATCAGTAATGTTGCAGAGGAGGTAGTAAGCCATTTCCTAGTAAATGACCGTCCTACCTACCAAGCCCTGAGAAAGCAGAACTCCAAGCCCTCCTCACAGACGACTGCAGTCAGCTCAGCAAGTGGCCAGGTAATCTCAGATCCTGAGTATTTTGAGCAGTAGTATCAGGTTGATCCACCAGCAGTTAACTTGGATGTGGGTAATGTTGAGATTCCACTGCCAGACCCACCCATCAGCGAGGATCCACCCTCCCTGACTGAAGTCAAGGGGGCAAGTGGTAAAGCAGCAGGTGTTTGTGGCATCCCAGCTGAATTGTTAAAGGCTGGTGGAGAACCTACGGCAAGGGGCTTGCATGCAGTTCTGTCTGCCGTCAGACTGGTACCATTCCCCCTGACCTGCTGAGGAGTGTGGTCATCCCTCTGTGGAAGGGGAAAGGGGATCGGTGGGACTGCAGCAATCACCCAGGTATTACACTATTCAGTGCACCAGGCAAGGTTCTCACGCACATCCTACTGATACATATCAGATCCTGGCACTTTGAGTCATTGTAGAGCGCCGTCGTGAGTTCAGACTTGGGCTACTCACAGCCTACATCGACCTTAAGAAGGCGTTTGA